GCTGTTGGCTGCTCGCGTTTTACTTTCTGTCTTTGAAGATGATTTAATGCATCCACTGCCACATGCAACCAAGAACTGCGACTCAGAGAGTAAGAGGAAGCTATGGAGAGATAGCAATGAAAATTTATGGGTTAAAGGTGAATGTTGACTCAAATTACGATTTCACAGAGAGCATCCTTAACTCTTTCAAATACCTGTGAGGTGCAAATCAGCGTGTTAGATACAAAAGGATACAAAGGGAAATAAGAAATGGGCCTGTTTCCACATAATACATTGCTAGACAGAGATCAGATCCATAGTCAATCAATAATCCAAACCACATTATTAAGTGTAGTAAAATAGAATGAAAATATCGCAACAGATTTTGTGAAGCCATTTCCGTTGTTAAAGTACATAGAGGTACGCAGCATTTCATTTTATTGAGCAGTCCAGGGGCTGCTGCTGTAGTCACCGGCTCATCCTCTCAGCTTATACGAGCAGTTAATCCATGCAACACGTTGCATGTATGACATAGCCGGCAATAAACACGTGTAGACACACTCCTTGTTCGCTGCCTGTGAGGTGTCTTTTATGCCCTCTGCATTTCCTGAGTAGGTCAGATTCCGGAAGGCCTTTCTGTTTCCAGGTGTGGCCCCGTGTCCTGAGTGTGGGAGGCATCCCCACCCCCTTCCTCTGATTCCTTGTCAGAACAGCCAGAGTGGGCAGTCAGGACACAGAAACACAGCCCTCTCCCTTGTCCATGGTTTTGGTTTCCATTGTTCTGCTACCTGGAGCCAACTGTGGTCTGAAAATAGTAGTAGCCAGAGAATTCTGGAAATAAACCATTCATAAGTTTTAACATATTGTTATAGTCATTTTATTGTATTGTTATTATTAGTTTTATTATTTATTATTATTAGTTTATTGCATAATTAGTTATTGCTGCACTTACTGTGCCCAATTAATGGATTAAACTAGCATAGGTGTGTCTGCATAGAAGCAAACATAGTTGGGGGATAGAGGGTGTGGCACCCCGGGGTGCTGGGCTGTTTCGCCCACAGAGAATGGGGGCTGTAATGGTGACAAACACGTATCAGTGCTGATGGCCTGCCAGGCACTGTGTTAAGCATTTTGTGTGTTTCCACTGTCTGATGTTCACAGCAGCCCTGGGAGATGGGCAGCACGGCTCCCTCCACATGTCACTGCTGATCCACCTTGCCCAAGACAGTGCACAAGGACGTAAAGGGCCCAGGCCTCTGGCTGTGTTCTGGGTCTCTGTGCTGCATCCGCTGAGTTGCTATATATGTCTGCACAGTTGCCAGTAAGGAATCTGAGAGCAGAGTAGTTTCCGTTTTGTCTCACGTTGGCAACAGGTGCTTACAGATGTCTAGCGCTCTCTCTCTCTCCCTCTCTCTCTCTCTACCTCCCTGTCCCTCCCTCCCTCCCTCTCTCAATCTGAATTTAATAATATCAAGCTTTTATCTTTGAGGTAGGTGGTAAGGTGAAGAAGATGTTGTGTCCTCTATGTGGTTCGGACCAAAAAGTTGAGAAATATACCAGATATGGTATAACTAAATTCAGTTAAGCTAATCCTCAGAGCTCTGTCCATCATTCATATACAGCTACTGTCAGCCTCTTGGAAAAGGGAGAAAGCGAGTTTATGTCCCTGCTTTTATACCGACCCATTCTGGCTATAATGTCCCCAAAATACGTCCTTTGTTTTATGGGCCATGGAGGTTTCAGAATCTGGTAGAGACTGTAGATAAAGAAATAAGAATCTAGTTGATTTAAATACAAAACAAGAGGCATCGCAGTCTGCTCTACCCATAGACACCTAGTTGTTTTGGGATTTTGTTGTTAAAGTAAAAATGTTCAGTAGAAACAGTCCAGCAATATGACACAGGAAAACAGGCAGGAATCGCGGGTGCTGATGGAGGGGTCGTGGTGCTGAGTCGCCGTGGCATCATGACAACCCCAGTGAAATCCTATGCAATGAAAACACAGGGCGGCTGTGCTGCAGCCTCAGCACCCCAGCTGCATGATTTAAGAGGTCAACAAGGGGCTGGCACTGTGGCGCAGCGGGTTAACGCCCTGGCCTGAAGCACCGGCATTCCATATGGGGGCCTGTTCGAGTCCCGGCTGCTCCTCTACCAATGCAGCTCTCTGCTATCACTGGGAAAGCAGTGGAAGGTGGCCCAAGTCCTTGGGCCCTGCACCCACGTGGGAGACCTAGAAGAAGCTCCTGGCTCCTGGCTTCGGATCGGTGCAGCTCCGGCTGTTGCAGCCAATTGGGGAGTGAACCAGTGGATGGAAGACCTCTCTCTCTCTCTCTCTCTCTCTGCCTCTCCTTTCTCTGTGTTAACTCTGACTTTCAAATAAATAAATAAATCTTAAAAAAAAAGAGGCCAGCAGCCAGTCTGATCAGCACCAAACAGAACTCAAGAGTGAACAGATGTGCAATGGATGAACAAAGACAGCACCAGTGTGGGGACAGCTCTTTCTCTTGTCCCCAGCGAGAGCTGCTGGATCATTCTAGAAGTCTTGCTTGCTTTCCCTCCTCATGCTCCTGCCTGCCTTGGCGAATCACGATTTTCGCAGGTTTATTTTCCTTTGCAAGAAGCTCAGCGGTTCTCTCTTTGTTCTGTTGAGGGAACATCTGTGGCAAATTTAGTACTGACTTGTTTTGAAGCCCACAGCTGCCCTGTGAGAGGACCCTGTGGCATCCTTTCTGGAGGCCTGGCTTCTGCACGCTCCCTTCAAAGCACCTTAATTGTGTGACATGAGCGGAGGCAGTGAGTACTGTGCATCAGTGTGTTGTGTCGACGGTAACCCCAAGGCATTTAACCCTCAGATGGAGAGATCCAGAGGCGACACAAGAGAAAGGAGAGCTCTGATTTGAACTTGAGGCCGGCTGTCTGGCTGCCTCAGACACTGAGTCTCCGACCAAACCCCAGCTAGTGTCCTCCTGTCAGTCACGCTGAGAGCCGTCTTCAGGGTCTAACAGCGGAAGTCTTTGAGCAGAATTCACTTTTGAAAGCTAAGCAAACTACAAGCTACCACTGAAAAACCATTAAAGTAAAAACCCACAGAAGCATGGCCGACCGCACCCGACTCTGCAGATCCTGGAGCCTCCGGGCCCAGCTCCAAGTTGTAGCTGATTCAGCACGGGGCGTGCATGAAACAGGAGCAGGTCTCTTCTGCCCACACAAGTCACAAGTGCAATAGGGCACTCTTTGAACCTGGAATTTGTAGAACTGCCCAACACCCATGTTGGAGGTGGAGTCCGATGGGTGGTTGGTGTGGATTCCACTGTGGGCCTGAGCTCCAGGCACAGCAGCTCTCCCCACGGCGAGAGCCCCCGAAGTGATGGCTGCTGCCCGCCTCAGGTCCGTGTCGGGGACTCACCACGAGGAGTCACTTACAGTCATGCAAGTACAGGGAAGTGCACGGTCACCGCGCCAGCAAATGGCAGCGCTGGAACAAACAGCCAGGCCCTTCTGCACAGTTCCATCGGTGCACCCGCAGCTGAGGCCCCTCCTGATGTCTGCCTTGGGAGGAGCCAAAGTAGGCAGGAAGCCTGGGGTGAGCGCAGAGTGCGGGACACTGAGGATTTGTGCAATTTACAGAGTCTCTTCCCACTCCGTCCAGTGGACACGGAGCACTTTCTACCGTCTCCTCCCTCTCTGCCTCTTGCTTCTCTAGCCCTTGTCTTACTCCTACTGTGTGCTGACGGACAGTTCTTTCTACATGCTCATCCGCCTCGGCGGCGTTTTCCACATACGGGGATGAGGGGCTCAGAGGACAGCTGGATGCAAGCATGTGGAGACCAGCATTCCTCATTCAGACCACAGCGTCAGGTTGTTTCCTGTCCTCTCCCAGTGAAGCAGCCGCAGGAAATCACCAGGGAACCAAGTCCACCTCTTCACTGTGCAGAGAAAGAGGCCCTGGGGAGCAGGGAGGGCTTGAGCCAGGGCCAAGCCAGCAAGGGGCAGAGCTGGGACTTTGCACAGGAGCCCTCACTCTTTGCTTGCGTTCCCTTCTCTTGTCACCCAGCACAACTGCCCTGGCTTATTTTCCTCGCGATTCCACACTGTGTTGGATGTGGTGGTGAACCTTGTCTTGAAGACCCAGAGTTCTGGAAACAATGGACTTGAGCCCAAAGCTTGACTCTGCCCCTTGCGAGCTGTGTGTTCAGGCGTGCACATTCCCTGCCCAAGATTCCGTCTCCTCCCATGTGGCAAGTGTCGCTCCCCCTCTTCGTGGAGGAACGACACAGGACCCTGCGCTGTTCTTTCGTCTGCTCGGCCCTCCCCGGGTTTGCTGCTGGTTCTTCCCGGGTTGGCTACTGTCCCTTCCACCTCCGTGGAAGGGCAGTTCCCCCTGGCCGCTTTCCCCACTTCCGCAGGGGAGCGGCACACCGCCGGCCGGCTCTCTCGGGGGCTGCACGGGTTCCCTTAGATGTTCCCCATAGATGTTCCCGGTGCATGCCGTCTCTCTCCTCCTTTATAGTCCTCCTCTGCCAATCCCAACTCGGCTGCCCACACGCCGAGCACGCCGCTCTCCTCCAATCAGGAGCAGCTTCTGCAGCTTGTCAAGTTGGTGAGAGGCAGCTGTGTAGAAGTTGTTTACTCCTCTCCCAGTGCCATATTGTGGGAGAGCAGATGCATAGAATAAGTCTTAATTCCAGTAACTTAGTCCAGTCCGGATTGCTCCCCACAGCAAGAAGTTTAAAGGTTCCTGCCGGCAGACGGCTTGCTCTGCATCGTCCGGTGATAGCTGCTTTATACTGATTTCTTATGGGCCTTTATAATGTATGCAAGGTGTATAGACCACCAGTAATAAACGTGAGCGTGCATGTGAATGGATATGCACACACGCATAGCATGTTGGGCATGTTGCACACATACACCAGGTAGGAATTTCGTTTAAGCCTTGGCGACATTGGTGGACCTGGGGTGGGCTTTGGGGTTTTCTGACAAAGTCCCCAGGGCTCAAGCTCTCTCCCTTTCTGCTCTTTGCAGGAGATGGCCTGCTCCTGGTCACAGCATCTGTGCTTCGGTGGTTGGGTGGAGCAGGAAGGGACACAGAGGAGGGGCAGCGGGATGAAGCACGCTCTCCTGCGGGTCCCAGCATCTGTCCTGAAGGAAATGTCCTGCCTCCACGTGGAGCTGCCCGTCTGTGCCACGTCTTAATCAAGGTCGCATGGAGGAGTGCAGCTCCCTCTGATGTACGCAGGAGTCGCTGTGCAGACACACCGTATGTGTCTACACACATGCAGCATGGGAAGGAGGACCTGCAGAGGTCAGGGATACACGTACGGCTTTCACGTGGCTGGGACTTGGGGCCTGGATGCAGCGAAAGACAACGATCCAGCCAAGATGGTTTGTTGCGTGATGGGGTAGCGCGAGCAGAGGTTGTGCAGAGGCAAAGCAGCTGGCAGTGTGTGTGCAGCGCAGGTGTGGACCTGCTTGCCCAGGGAGGGGGTGCTATGGGGGAAAGGGAGGCAGAGCAGCGACAAGGTCTGGAGGCTCGGGGTGGGGGGGACTCAGCTGAGGACTCTGGGGAGCTGCTGCAGAGGTGCTGTGGCCTTGGCCTGAGTCCCCACAGGGGAGGCCGGAATCTGCAAAGAGATGGTCTGGCTTCCTCACTGGTGGGACAGCGATGGGGACCCTGGGGTGGGTGAGAGGGACAGAGGTTTGGGTTCAGTTTGGGGCCCTGAAAGAGTGGTTAGGATTTGAGGGGAAATACAAAGTAGCCTAAAACTGCATTGCTGCAAGTTGACGTGAGAGTGAGCGGGAACGCAGTGCTGCTGTTTCGGGACATTCGATGACGTGGTGCAGGCTTTCCACCCTCACTGCCTCCTGGGCTCGGGATGCTTACAATGCCCCTGAGCAGCCACCGCGGGGACAAGCGGAGGGCCGTGGAGGCTGGAGTCTCCCATGACACCGCAGGGCCTTTCTGGAGTTGAATCTTTATTTTCTAGCATTTGGTTTATAACCCATGACGGGCAGACTCCTTTCAGGGGTGAGACAGTACCTGAAGGAAGACCGGTAACCATGAGTTAAAACCTGAGCTCATAGTACCTTCCTCGGTCTGCTGCTCAGGAGGGTGGGGGAAATCCTGAAGTCCTCATCCTGGAAGCAGACACAAAGAGCAGATTAAACTGTACCTTAATACTGATACCCACAACAAAGCGGCTGATAAGCCTATCCTCGTGTAGACGTTCTCCCTGACTTCCTCCTTTCATAAAATGTTGTTTTTTTCTTTGAGAGGGGAGGGAGGACCGATGATCAAGAGAGCGTCCATCCACTGGGCCAGGCTGAAGCTGGAAGCTGGAAACCCAATTCGGGTGCCCCAGGGTCCCCCATGTGAGTGGCAGGGGCTTCAGTCCTGACCCCTCACCTGCTGTCTCCCAGGGTGCACATCAGTGGGAAGCTGCAATCAGGCGCTGGTGGACCCCGCAGGCTCCGGTGTGGAACCTAACTGCTAGGCAGACGCAGGTTTTTTTTTTTTTTTTTTTTTGACAGGCAGAGTGGACAGTGAGAGAGAGAGGCAGAGAGAAAGGTCTTCCTTTTGCCATTGGTTCACCCTCCAATGGCCGCCGTGGCCGGCGCGCTGCGGCCGGCACACCGCGCTGATCCGATGGCAGGAGCCAGGAGCCAGGTGCTTTTCCTGGTCTCCCATGGGGTGCAGGGCCCAAGCACCTGGGCCATCCTCCACTGCACTCCCTGGCCACAGCAGAGAGCTGGCCTGGAAGAGGGGCAACTGGGACAGAATCCGGCGCCCCGACCGGGACTAGAACCCGGTGTGCCGGCGCCGCTAGGTGGAGGATTAGCCTAGTGAGCCATGGCGCCGGCCCAGACGCAGTTTTTACAAAGAGCAGGTCTGAGAGTTCCAGGGTTTCAGTTAAAGTCTTTCCGGCTTTGTGCTCCGAGTGCCCATTCCTGCAGGCTGAGTGTGGCCCTCCCGTGTTGAAGACCCGTGGCAGCTGTGGTCTGATTCCCACTCGGGCGCCTGTCCATCTATCAGAGGATAAAGGCAGACGAGCAGTTACAATGGAGGGAAGTGGTGCAATGTCTGTGTTGAAACAGCGGCTTCCACCGTGTCCTCTGGATGCAGGGGAGCCATGTACTATCTTTTTGTGTTTTCTTCAAGATTTGTTTATTTAACATGCAGAGTTACAGAGAATTACAGAAAGAGATCTTCCATCTGCTGGTTAACTTCCCAAATGGCCAGGATGGCTGAAGCCAGCAGCCTCATTCGGGTCTGCCGTGTGGGTGCAGGGCCCACACACTTGGGCCATCTGCTGCTGCTTTCCCAAGCGCATCATCAGGGAGTGGGATCGGAAGTGGAGCAGCTGCAACAGGAAGCGGCCCCCGTACATGATGCCAGCATTGCAGGCAGCGGCTAAACCCGCTACGCCACGATGCCAGCCCCTACTGTCATTTTCAAAGGGTAGTTTTCACTTGGATTGTTGAAGTCTGGGGTCTGGTCTGCCTGAACCCTTGCAAGCTGGGCTGTTGGGCAAATTTCTTTGTCTCCCAGACCCTCAGCGTTCTTTGGGTAGATGGAGATAGTAGTCGTGTTCAATCCAAAAAGTGTTTTGGGGACTTAATGAGCTATGCTAGTAATGAAATCACTTAAGATACAGTAGAGGCTGGCGCCGCGGCTCACTAGGCTAATCCTCTGCCTTGCGGCGCTGGCACACCGGGTTCTAGTCCCGGTTGGGGCGCCGGATTCTGTCCCGGTTGCCCCTCTTCCAGGCCAGCCCTCTGCTGTGGCCCGGGAGTGCAGTGGAGGATGGCCCAAGTACTTGGGCCCTGCACCCGCATGGGAGACCAGGAGAAGCACCTGGCTCCTGGCTTCGGATCAGCGCGGTGCACCGGCCGCAGCACACCGGCCGCGGCGGCCATTGGAGGGTGAACCAATGGCAAAAGGAAGACCTTTCTCTCTGTCTCTCTCTCTCACTGTCCACTCTGCCTGTCAAAAAAAAAAAAAAAAAGATACAGTAGAAACTCCTTAGTGCCCTGCCACATTCTAGCCTTGCCTCTGTCATTGGTCTCATCTCTCCCTTACTCCCCACTCCCAGCCTGGAGTGCTCCATGTTCTCCCTGCCCCAGGGCCTTAGCACATGCTGGTCCCTTGTCTTGCAGAAGCATCCCTGTCTGACCCCAGGGTGTGCATCGCCTTCATGCACTTTGCTGCGTTCTTTCCTAGCTGCCCAGTGATTTGGGCTGCGTTAGTGTAACGTGCATCCTGCTGCCTGTACTGTAGCTCGGCGAGGGTGAGGTTAGATCTTTTTCGGCTCATCACCGTGGATTCATTTCAGAACAAAGCTTGGCACACAGGGTGCACTTTAACTACTTGATACTTAATGGGGGAATAAGTGAATGGAAACATGATCTGCTTGTGAGGCCTTGGCACTGTGTCTGACTTGTAAGAAGTGTTTCCAACAGTAATCAAAGAGCAGGTGACAGACTTTGACTGGGGAGGTCAGGAAATTTTCCTGGAAGAGGTGATGTCGGAGCTGACGTTGGAAGCCAAGCTCTTGTAACCTCCTGTTTTGGGGCTTCATAGAACAGAGGATTTTAGGGTGCATTTGTGCGTTTTAGGGCAGTGGGTAAGGGTTTCATGGAAAAAGTGCCCAGGCGGCCCACTTTTGAAATTATGTAGTATGGTTTCCTCCCAAGAGCTTGCAGCATTTTCTCACTCTCCCCGGTAGATAGAGAAAAGACGGAGACTTCTGTGTAAGGTCGAGAATTCTAGAGCAGAGGGGGAAAGTTAAGTGAGGCTGTGGGAGAGAGCTGAGGGGATCACAGGTCGGGGAGGCAAAGTGGAGAGCCAGCAGGTGCAGGAGGGCTTGCCTGGACCCCCGGGAGCCGCCTGTCTGCAGGTGCTTGCTGAAGCCCATGTGCACAAAGAGGGTGTGCAGGCAGAGGCGGGCCCACCCTCGTCAGGACCTCCCACGTGAGCTCACCAGGGCCTCCGGAGCTGTGTGCCCATGGCTCTGTGGCCTGCGATGTCCTCCACTGTGTCGGAGGGGAGCTGGCAGAACCTGCAGACTTCCCAGTGTTCATTGTTTTACTTCGGTGCGTTTTCCAGAAAACAATGGCGGCTTCAGATTAGAGTGCCTGTTGGTGGGGTTTTATAAGCAATCATTCGCAGGCGTTTGGTGCCGAGGGTAAGATCATATTTCGTATCGGAGTGTTTGGCTTCACGTTCCGCCTCCACCCCTGCTAATGTGTTTACACAGAGGTTCAAGTAGCTGGGTCCCTGCCACACACGTGAGAGATTCAGATTGAGTTCCCCGCTCTCAGCTTCGGCCTGGCCCAGCCCCAATTGTTGCAAATATTTGGGAAATGAACCCCCAAATAGGAGATCTCTCTGTCTCTCTCACACTTTCTGCCTTTCAAATAATAAATAAACATAAAATTTCACAGTCACGTTATAAGTGGTTTTAAAAGAGAGACACTTACGTGGTATTTCACCTTTGCCAATCCACGCCGCTCGTTTAAAGAGCTTCGGGGACTAAAGATGCTGAAATATTTCACATCTGCTCTCTTCAAAGTGAGTACAAGCAGGAGGCTCCGCTCTCCCTTGTCGGAGCGACTTGTCGGAGTCGACGGCCAGAAGACAATGGTTCTGCTTTCTGTTGAGAAAGTCTGGATTTTTCCATCCTTCCCTCATCTCCAGCCCCTGAAGCAACAGGTCTCAGGGAAGGTGACCCCAGGGACTGTCTCTCAGGCCCCACTCTTAGTGCCCTGTGTCTCAGAGTTGACGGGCTTCCCCCAGGCCACGGAGTCAGCACAGTCGTCACCGGATTGGCCAGTCCCACAGATGGACACTGAGACCCCTCTGAATGGGCACTGACGTATGCTCTGCACACCAAGCTCTGAGAATGCAAAGGCAGCCCAGGTGTCCTGGGGAGGCGAGTGCGAGTGGTGTGCTCAGTGCCCACCACACACTTGCTCTCTGCAGAAGCCCCGGGAGGCAGGAGAGCAAGGTCACCGCGCCGTGGCTGCTGCAGGCTGGGCTTTGTCCTGCAACTGGGCAAGGGAAACTCAGAGAAACGTTTCCTCTCCTGTGGGAACTCTACGTGCTGTGGTGGGATGCAGCACACAGAGATACAGCCCAGGCTGCTTGATGAACTCCATAATGGGCTCCTTACAATAACTGTGAACAAGTGCTCTTCAAGAATTCCCTCCCTTACCTAAAAATGTTCAGTGAACTGTTTAAGCATATTTAATGTGTGTTTTTAAAATGCATTGCTGAAGTTGAAAGTCAGGGAAGTCCCAAGAGGCTAAAAAACTAAGGAAAATGTACAAGTCCCCTAAAGTCGTCCTCTGCTGGGTTTTGTTGTGAAATTTGGGCCAGAAAGCAGAATCTCAGAGCACGCTGCCGGGGACCTTAGGTGAGAGACGAAGCAGGAAGTGTAGGTGCTTCACGTTTTGTGCTT